TCCACCCCAGAGTACTGACATTGATTTCCACCCAAATAGTGAATTATATTAAAAATCTCTCCATCCTTCTCAATCTCTTCACTCCACCCCACTTTCTCTCATTTTGTTTATCATTTATTTGTATTTTATGTGTTCATGTGTGCCTCTCTCTGTGTGTATGCCGCATATATGCAGGTACCTCCTGAGACAGAGGAGGGTTTAGGATCCCCAAGAACCAGAGTTTTAGGTGGTTGTGAGCTGCCTTATGTGGGTGCTGGGAATTGTACTTGCATCCTCTGCAAGAGCATCGAGCCCTCTTAATGGATACACCATCTGTCTAGCCCGACTTCTTCTCATTTGAGGTCCCAGACTTCCTGAAGTCCTCTAACCTCTGATGAGGTAAGCAATTTCATATACACAAGTCAAGTCTTAGCCTCTGGTGACGTTGGAATATACAGCTGAATAATATCCCACCCAGACCCTCCCAACTCAGAGCCTGGGATTCTACCTTTTCTTCCTCTTTTAAGGTTTATTTTTAATGTTATGAGTGTTTGCCTGAGCACCGTCCAACATCCACAGAAGTAAGATGGAGGTATTGGACTGCTGGAACTAGAGTTACAGATGGTTGTGAGCCACCATGTGGGTGCTGGGGGATCGAACCCAGGTCCTCTGGAAGATCAGTCAGCGTTTTTAGCCACTGAGACATCTCTTCAGCCCTGGATTCTATCATTTTAAAATTAGTATACTACATCAGTTCATCCAATGGCCATGACTAATACTCTGAGGATATTGTAAATACTTGTTAAAATATTTTCCTGTGGAGACTGGAGAAATGTGAGAGAAAAGGCTGTAAGCACAAATCTTTGCTGACACTTTGGAAGGAAAATTACCATGGAGAGGATGTGCGTTATTTCATATGTAAATTTGCCAAGAAAAAAAACAAACACAATTTCCAGAAAGCTAAACACACTAATGCAATAAAGAATGGTATCACTACAAAGATGGAGCAGTTTACATACTTAGATTTGCTGCACAGAGTACATTTCAGAGGGCAATTAAAAACCCAAACCCATATGTCATAGGTACGCTTCCATTGCTGTGAAGAGACACCATGGCCAAGGCAACTTATAAAAAGAAACATTTAATTGGGCTTGCTTACAGTTTCAGAGGGTGAGCCCATGACCATCAAGGAAGGGGGTATGGTGGCAGGAAGAAATGATGTTGGAGTAGCAGATAAGAGCTTACATCTGTTTTGCAAGTTGTGGGCAGAAAAGAGAGACACTGAGCCTGGTGTGGGCTTTAGAAACCACAAAGCCCATATCCAGAGACACACCTCCTGCAAGGCTACACCCCTAATCCTTCCCAAACAGTTCCACTAACTGAAGACCAAGCACTCAAGTATATAAACCTATGGGAGCCATTCTCATTCGAACCACTGCACCATACAATAGACAATGAATTCTGATTGGCATATCATTAATATGGCCACTTCAAAATGGAAGCCGTGTGTTGTGGTTCATTCATGAATTCTATCATTCCCAAGAGTTCTTCATGTAGATTGTATAAAACAGCCCTTCAAGATTCTTATTCCTTCCCTGAATTCACAGGGTAGTGACAGCTCTGAAACTCAGGTTTGTATATTCTTGGCAGTTGGTGATCCTTCTAACTGGCTAAAGATAATTTGGAGGGAGAACTGTGTGGCACCATCAGGCTGCGCTACAGCGGTGAAAGTCCTGTTCCAAACCTACATGTAAATTTTGGTGGCATTTGACTGGCTCTCATGAGGTAGAAAAATGTTGAGCCCTTTTTATGTTGGGCTTTGTGACTCCAGGGCCAATCTTCCTTGACTATGAACTCTGTGAGGGGTAAAAGCTGCCACCTCCCCACAGTGGAACCCCTGTCATCTGGGCATTGGTGTCTGACATGTCACTCAGGAAACGTTTGCTCAGCTGAGGGAGAACTAGAGGTCCGGCCCCTGGAAGGTACCTCCTGGAGTGTTTTAGTTAAATAAAGACTAATGAGCAGTGTGGGGGAAGCCATAGCCACACATGAATGACCCTGGTGCAAAGAGCCCTGTAGCTCTCCTCCTGGGCTAATGCCTGCTCACTTGTGGGTTTATGCTGTTAGTCATGGTTCTGCTTTTACCAAGACACATTCTAAAACAGTCTTCAGGAAGATTAGTTTGGAACCCACCAGTGTGAGAGACAAAACCTTAAAGAGGAAGAAACTTTCATTCAGTTCCCATGGTAACATGAGCAATCTGGCAGAGTTAAGACCAGTCTGAAGACTATCCAAGTCCTTTATCTGGAAGTCACAAACTTGACCTACAGTGGACTTTCCTACCAGCTTCTAGCTTTATTTTCCTAAATCCCTACATATTAGGACAGAGTATAAGAAATCTAGCTCAGCAACCAGCTGTTGGAAGACCCCAGATACAGCTGTTTCCAAATGTCAGAAAGCATCTGGGCATTATCATCACGGGCATCCCACAGCCTCAAAGGCCATGGCTTCTATAGACCTTAGTGTCCTTTGAAGGTCTCTGTGCCAGGACTGAAGGCCTGATTGTGGAGCGAGGAAGGGGCATAAGGAGACTCTTCCTGTGTGTTCAGCAAAGGCCCTCCAGAGTCCAGAGGCTTGAATGACAGGATGGTGATAAAACTGTCATGTTAGCCAAACTTTATTTTGGTTCCAGTGAGTCATGTGGTCTCTGTCCAAGTTTGGCTTTGTGCTTGTGTAAACATTAACTTTAAGATGCTGACAAAATAAATTGCCCAGCAGTGCAAACCAGTGTCGACTCTCTATCCTCTGCATAGACATGGAGAGATGCAGAGACTTGCTTCTTACTGTCTTGATCTGTTTGGACCATAAGCTGGGTGGCTTGTGGATGGCAGGAATTTATTTCTCACAGCTCATCTGAGAAGCCCAAGACCAAAGCACCTGCAGGTTTGGTGTCTGCTGAAGGCCTGCTTCCTGACGGATGGCGAAAGAGCCAAGGGTTCTTTCTCTCTTTGTCTAGGAGGCACCTGGACATAATCATCTCCAATGGCTCAACCTCCAAATCGCCTCACTTCAGGGCCCAGGTGCTAAGATGAGCTTGGCATGTGACATGCACTCATTTGGTCTCTAACATCTCCTAACCATCTGTGAACAGTCTGTGGAGAGTTGCCCCGGATAGTGCTTTTACTCTCATGCCCAGCCTATTTCCTAGGTGCACAGAGGCCGACAGAGTTCATCAGCTGGGGCAAAGTGTTTGCTCAGAGGAGTATACAGGGTTACAGTTGGAGTGTGAAGCGTCTACAGTAAGCCCATGTGTTTGAACCCTTGATCGCCTGCGGCACCCGCACCACAAGCAACTCCGAGGTATCAGGAAAAGAATGACTAGATGTCCAGCTGTTTGTACTAAGAAGTGTCTTTATTTTGCAAGTGCTAAGAGGTCTCTCTCTTGTAGGAGGGAGCAGTCTTATATATAGTCTTACAGCACAGTAGAAAAACCTCAGGTGGAAGAGAGCGTGTTTTCCTCCTGCTAAATGTTGATGTTAGTGGGGCAATGCGGGGGCAGTAAGCCAGGACTAGAAAACAGGATGCACCTGTGGCTATCAGCTGACAAACAACTCAGAGACCCTGTGGGGGCGAGGCCCCAACAATCACCAGCCGGTGGTGCTGTTTGGGAAGGCGATGAAATCTTAAGGAGATAGAGCCTGGCTGGAGGACATATATCCCTGGAGTGGACTTAGAGGGTTTCTAGGCTGGATCTACTTCTTCTAAGTCTGCTGACATATGTAATGGGCTAGCCTCATGCTCCTGTCACCATTTCTACCCTGCCATGATGGACTGTACCCCTCCGGAACTATAAGCCAAAGTAAACCCTTTCTCCCCACAGGTTGCTTTTGTTGAGGGCATTTTATCACAGCAACAGAAACAAAATGAATACACTGCATTTTGGGATATATTTGCTGTCTTTGCTCTGCTGGGAGAATTTGGGCACACACATGCCTTCTCCAGCTCTGAGACTGTCTGTACCCATTCCCTGGGCAGGAGTAGGTGCCACCATTTTCTTTCACTTGATCCTTTCATTTGCCCCAAATAGTCAAGAGCCACCACCATCCAAGAAGAAGGAAAAGGGAAATGCAGGGGAAGAGACACCCTCCATCACCCCAGTTTCTGGATGGACTTGGTCTCTGCAGGAGCCTCTATCCCACAGAATAGCTCATTGAAAGCATTTTGTAGGGTCCATACATACTGTTCCTCAGTGCCATGTGACAGTGGCATTTTCTAGTGGGAGAATATGGTTGGCCTTGCTCATGGACTAAGCCACATTCTCAGGACTGGTCCACCTATGAGTCTTTAGCCCCTGGTTGAGTCTTCCACCCAATCAAAAGGCAGAGGGCAGGAGGGATGCTCTCTCAGCCTGGACACATGGGGGAGGGCCTAGATCCTGCCCAGGATGATAGGACAGACTTTGAAGATTCCCCATGGAAGGCCTCACCCTCCCTGGGGAGCGAAGTGAGGATGAGGTGGGGAGTTGGGGAGTTGGGGGAGGGCAGGGGAGGAGAGGATGGTGAGGGAGTTGGGATTCACATGTCAAGCAAGCTTGTTTCTAATTTAAATAAAAAAAGGCAGAGGGCAGAGCAGGAGGGACCCCCCTGATCTCTAGGTAGGACTCACACAGGCAGGCATCATGACTACTGTGTGTAGCACAGGGTGGATAACAGATAATTATTGGAAGCCCATCTTCCATTGCTGTCTGTGAACTCATCAGGAGTCCTTGACCTCAATCAGACTCCTTTGTGTTCTGGAAAGCATACCCTAACAGGAACTGGCTTCTGTTTCTGGGGATATGGGAACCATACAAAAGTTTATTTCTTGCCCACAATCCCATGCCCTAGCAGGTGGGACTTCTAAGATCGCACTGGGGCTTGAGGTCTGCCATGGCTCTGCAGTTAACCTCCGGTAGGCACTATTGTGAAGTGAAAGAGATGACATTACACCATCTGGAGGAGATAGAATGAGAAGTACACAGGTTTTGGGATATGAAAGCCTTTGTCATTTTATTTTACAATAAAAAATTCTAACAGCGTATGAACACTCTGTTCCCGGCAGAGGCAAAGGACGTACAAAGTTAATTGGAAAGCTAAGCATTGAAATAACAACAGCTACATTCAAAGCTCCTGTGCTGTACTTTGCCCAATGCATCCAGAGTGGTTTGAGAGAACCACAGTCTGGTTTTTTCCACCCAGAGTCAAAGCACACGTGGAGACACTTACACACCCTCCAAACCACAGGGGACAAACAACGATAACAGCAACTCCATGTGGGCTGACTTTTGTGGGCAATTACAATCTGCAGAATTCCTTTCTCTTTCCTTGATAAGAAGTTGTGTCACTGAACACATGACAACTCAAATTAACTCAGTGGGGAGCAGGAGCCGGATCAAACTGAACTGTGAAATGAATGGTTTTAATAGCGAATTCTTCCGATATACTTTCCAACCATGTTCAGACACATTGTGCACACAGGCCTCACAACCACCATGGGAGGTAGGAAGTACATATACTATTATTCCCATTTGATCCATGAGGAGTCGCAGACCAGTTCAAAGCGAGTCACTCAAGTTCTAGAATATTTACACCTTCTCAAAAATTCCAGCCCAGCAACACTCCTCTGATTTTGTTTAGTACATTTCTCCTTTCTTTTCTCTCCTTAATTTATGTGAAGATGGAGGTGAGTTTAGACCCAAAGAAGAGAAGAAAGAGAGGAAGGTGAGGCCACGGTTAATTTATGTAAAGTACATTGGATGGCCTCTTTGCATCATTTACGAGAATCTGAGCAAGGCCAGAGGACGAAACAATTAGTCTCTAGATTTATCATAGGATGTTCCAGATTTATATAGGATGGCTCTAACTCAACTATGGGTTTGACCTCTGTGGACAAATTCTACCTTCTCGAAATTTCCCACTTTTTGAAACCTACAAAATCAAAGCCACTCAACATCTTCTAAGAGAATTTGCTTCTGGTACAATTAATTTCCTAAATGTCCCTTTTCAGGAACACCTACATTTCAGTATCTGCGCCCACCTAGGGTTCTGTAACAGCTCACACAAGCAATCCGGAGACCCTTCTGTTCTCAGGGCACTAACTTCTAATAGCCGGAAGGTCAGAGCCACCGTGGCGTCATTTTCACTGGAAACCTATTTTGTTTCAAAGAGACTCTGGAGAGGCGCATCAGTTTTCTCATCCATGCAAATGTGTGGCCGGAGCCACGATAATAGCACCTGAGCTAAGACCATGCAGTTCAATTTACAAGTATGTATTGTCTGCTGAGCACGACACTAGGTTAACTGGGCCTTGGTCAGAGGTCTCTTCTGGGGCCCAGCAGTGGCATTCAGGAACTAGTGTGGGTAGGGGTGGGAAGCGTCTGGGGTCAGTCTAGCCAGTCTACAGGGGGTTCACTCAAGTGTGTGCACTCTCACCTGATGTACAAGTAGGAGCCGCCTTCCCTGGGGTGATGGGCAGTATCTAGAGGACTTCCCTCTGAATACCAGCTGCCAGGTGGTATCTTAGGGGTGTGGTCAGTTCCAGTCTGCGGCAGCTTCCTTTAGGGAGTCCTGATCCTGCTTCCCGATCATGTTCCTTCCCCTGGGTGCCAACCCTCAACAAGAGCTCCTGCCAAATGGGTCAATCCAGGGACCATGCTTGTAGGACATAACCCTGCCTCTATGCTTACAGCTGACTGGATGGGCACCTGACCTGAGGGCAGCTTATCCACAGGCAGATACGAACTGGACCAATCAGAGCCTCAAGCACTTGCCTACAGGGGGCTCAAAGATGCTAGTCGGAGAGTAGCCTGCATTGGGAAGGAAAAGTGTGGTGTGAGTTCTGGGGTCCGTATTTGGCTCCATATGCACTAGTGAGTAAGGCGGTTGGTCCAGGCAAGCAAGAGGGTGAAGCAGGTGTGTTGAGAGAGACAGACGAAAGCAGGTGAGGGGAGAGAGTGCCAGAGAAAGCCATCAGGAAGACAGGCTGGTTGATGGGGATCCCCTGCCTTTCCCACCTATGCCTTTGGCTTCTGTAATTTATCGTGGTGCCTTTCTGTCGGTCCCTGTGCTGAAGTAAGGCTGAGCAGGTTTCTAGTCCTTGAGAAGGTCCCAGATGGGACCGCCTTTGAGGCTGGACCAAATGGCAGAATGTAACTTCCAATACTTGGACCCAGTCGGTGACAAGCTAAATTATACTTAAACCTTAAGGGTCTTGGACTGTAATTTGAAAGGGAAGTCCAAATTCTAAATCCAGGCTTAAGTTCAGAACTTTTTCTCAAACTTGAAAACTTCTATGACATTATATACTGAACTTCAAGCTATGTGGAAAAAAACGAGGCTCATTTGTATGAAATCAGTATTTTTTGATCCATTTCAATTCTTTGCATGGCAGGGAAGAGTTCCTTTTACTTCGATGTAAGAATTTCACACCTCTTGCATTCCACCTACTCTCACAGAAGGTTTTCTTTTCAATCACAGATATTATGATTTCCTAGATTGTTCAGAAATGGCATGTTTTGTCTTTTGTCTTTTTTTTTTCTGGGCTCTTAAAATAACAAGTACACAGCATTGCCTCTCCTGGGACAGTGAGTGGCCTTGAACCCTTCCAGAGGCAACTTCCCTGCTCCATAGTTTACAGTTGCCACCTCGTTCCTGCGTAAACCTCAGATCAGAGGTACAGGTCACACAATAGGCCATTACATTCTTGCCCTACTGGGTCACCTGATGGAATGTCAGCACATCCTTGACTCAGGGTGCTGAAATGAGTGAGTTACCTCCACCGGCTTCTGACTAAGGGCATTGTTTCTTCAGTGGTACTTTCTGGAAAAAGTCGAATTGTGCCCCCCCCCCCCTTCTTGGCAAGAGTATTATGGAGTTCCTCATATGAGTCTTGCCTGTTTTTTTTTAGATTTTGGGCACAGTTAAAGAAATGTGTCTCCAACAAGTGTCCAGGCAGCACGGTGAAATGGAGAGCAGGCTGGAGCATGGATCAGCAGGCTTGGGCTCAACCCTCCATGTATGTGTCTGGACGTGGGCTTCCTCCTTCCAAGTCACTAAGATTCTCTGTGCCTGTCTGAAGATCAGGACAATCTAAGCTCACTGCTGCCTCCTCTGGGCTCTCATGGAACCCCATGTTTGCATCTGTGTGGGTCTCCTGTCCTGGGACCTATCACCTCTGTACGCTTAGGAGACTCTTTAGAGAAGGGACATCTTAGTTCCAAGAGGCTTTAACGATGGTAAAAAACCATGAACACATTTTCTTTTATTAATTTAAGGTTTTCTCGAATAGACTTCTTAAACCCACGGTATCTAGTTTAATAGCATCTGATTTATCATGCTATATATTAATTGTCTCAATGAATTAAATATTTTATGGGGTTCTGCAAAGACCCCAGTGAGCTGTAGCTCCCTTGTCCTGGCAATCTGGGGCCACACCATGGCTAACTCTAGACTCATGATCTGGAAGTTACTGGACTCTAAAGCTTAGACATTGCCTCTTGAAGCATTCATATTCTATAATCTAGAAACTTCTCTCTCATATTCCAAACATTTACCAAGTCCATACAGTACTGTGCTGATACCACTGCACTGATGAAATATTGATATTATTGATAAAGTGGAACAATGTAGCTGGCTTTATCAGACTTACATAATCTGCATGAAAGGCTGAGTTTCTTTGGCTCTTTGCTCATTCAAGTGCATTGAATGCCTGCTTGGATGGACTCAGGCATTGTGTTAATCTGTCAGTAAAGTCTTGCACTGTCCACAGTGTTCTGCAAGCTGAATTCAGTTTTGGACTACAACTGGCCATTGGTAGAAATATACCATATATACACACAGAAATTACAAAAATACATTTTATTTATAGCTGATTTCTTATTAAGTAACAAAAAACTAACACTATGAAAGATCAACTGGCATACTAAAAGGACACTACCTAATGTCATCCTCACAAGAGACTTGTCTGGGGATTCCATGACATATCTCTGAACATTCCAGAAAGGACAATTTGCCAGAGGGAAATAAAAAGAGCTTCTTGGGAAAGTCTGTGCTTTGACAGTGTGAGTCCCCATCCTAATCAGTTCCAGTCCTACTCTTCTCTCAGCCTCTAAGTCCAGTAAAGGCCAAAGAAACTCATGAAGACAATGGATAGATGGGTTCAGGGGAGCATGGTTCAGCTGAAGCCAGATGGGTCATGGGTGAAGGCAGGATAGGACCATATTCTCCAACAGACACCAAAGAAGCCCCCTGACCTCATACATGGCTCCCAGGGTTCTCTTTTCCTCTGGTACCCCAAATCAGTTTTATTTGCACAGAGGGGTCATCAGTGGCTGGTACCCCAGAGCTGCGAGGCAGTGTTTCTACCCAGGACTCTGTAGGCTGATGCTCCGTGCCAGGGAGAGTAGCATGGAATAGCACCATCCCAGGGTAGCATCCTGCCATCTCAGCAAATATCCTCTTGCGTCCATCCACCATAGAGAACTGGTGAACACAGACTTTTAAAAAGATGCTTTGCATTTCATTTCAAATCAGATTTTCTACATTTAGAAGTTTCTAGAAGCAGAGGCTGCAGTGTGGGGTGACTGGATCCATCCTTCCCACATCTAACATAATCAGTGATGGTTTCCATTGTACCACTCAGCAGCACATGATGGACTCTATTATGGAGGAGACAGATCTTGTTAAAGTTGCTATATCTATTATTTCCCCTGGATGGATGGGCTCTTCAATACAAAGAAAAACTTCTACAAATAACTGCTTCTCTTTTACAGGCTCCCAAGTCTCTTAGCACCAATTCTCTTTCATTTGGATCCCAATTTGCAGGAGACTTTATTTTCAAAATGACAACACCTTTTAAACAGTCTGTCAACACAAGCCCACCATTCTGGCTCATTGTCTCTCTTTCTTGGCCTTTAATTAACAGGTGTGTGTTGCGGGGGGAAAAGTCAGGACTATTTATAGGCACAGCCATTGGAACTGGTTTCCATCCAATTTATTTGACTTTGAACATGAGCTTTTAAAAGCAAAGAGACTCGAGTTTCTTGGTTGGACAGTCAGTGTCTCCCTTACAGACTGGAGGTGATTTTTAAAGCGATCACGGTCATGGCTCAATGATAGAGTACAGTCTGGTTGTTAATCACATTCCTGTGTTGCCTTTAACACAGAAAGAGAACATGCAGAGGTCACTGAAGACAGAGAGGCATTCTCTCCCTTCTGGTGATTTACTAAAATGGGACATTGGACAGGAACCTGCAGGCTAGCTAGTGCTTCTCACAACTAGGGCTCCTTAGGGAAATTCCAGCCACACTTCAAACATTCAGGCCAACACAACATTAAACACAGGGTCCCAGCTCAGGACTTGGTGACCCACAATGGGTTGCAGACTTCAGAATCCAGTTGCTGACAAGGTCTCTGTTTCCCAGCAGACGCACTGTTGACATTTTTAGAATCCGAGGATGAGAAAGACCCATGCATTGTCTGGAGCCCCAGCATATGAGGGGAGAGGAACCCAAAGCCTGTTTGTTGTCTCACAGTCTTCAAGTGCAGATTCCCTCAGGGTTGAGGCGTTAGACCTGGAACTCAAACATGTCTGTCTGCTTCTTGGCCAGCTTGGCCACTTCCTCCCGGATAGCCTTCACGAGGGCTGCTGTAGAAATGTTGGTCAGTGGAGTGTCTGGAGGCTCGTTTTCTGTCAGGCTCTGCTGTGAGGCAGCTGCGGAGGGGGCAGGGGCCTGCTCTAGGCTTGGGTGAAGGTTGGTTGGCTGGCTATACTGGCGAGGAAGCCTGGAGGGTGAGCTCTGTGGATAACGTGACCTGGGATAGGCCTCGATGTACCCAGGAAGAGGGACCTGCACAAGAGGTTGGGAGAGAGGAGAAGGAACTCATGTTAGAAGGGAGCTCAAGGCACAGGATGCACTCAATGCTGGAAGCGGGAGGCGACTGAGGTCAAGGAAAGGGTTAAAGGAGAATTGAGACCATGCACTGTCACTGCTATGGCCCTTCCAATCTGGAGTCAGTTTCTTTAACATCAGCTGTCTTGAACTCACCAAGTAGGCTAGCTGGACAAACTAAATAGGTGTTTTCCAACTTTGCTGAAAACATTAAGAGTACACCTGAACTCACAGTTGAACCACCCATGCCTTTCTGAGTAAACAGAACTGTTGCAAGGGAGCTCAGGGGCTTTTTACTAATAACAATAGCTGACATCCATTGAGCCCTACCGGTTTCACATAGTATCTTATTTAACTCTGCAAGCAGTAATCTCCTTGTAGGTGTCATAATCATTGTTTTATAGGTGAGGACACTAAAGCAAAGGGTACCACCATCTAAGGAAACACAGCTACCAAGCTACCAAGCCAAAGCTCTGCACAGGTCTCCCTGGCTCCAAGCACTGGGAATTAATTTGTGCACTGCAGTGTTTTAGATACAGGTATAAGAAAAAGGAACTAGTCAAAGAAACACACCCTGAGCAGAGCCAAAGAAACACACTTTGGCCCTGCAACCAGAACCAAAGAAATGTACCCTGACCCTGAAACCAGTGCCAAAGAAACACACTTTGTCCCTGGAATCAGAGCCAGTGAAAGAAATACACCCTGGCCCTAAAATTGGAGCCAAAAGGTTAAAAAGGATCAGGAAAAGAAACACACTTTGGTCCTGAAACCAGAGCCAAACCTGACCCTAACCCTGTGCAGAAAACTAACCAATTCTCAAACAGGAGCTCTAGCCAATGTGAGCTCAGCATTAAAATCTGACCAATGCCCACCCTGGAAGCCCTATATAAACCCTGTGTCTGTTCAGCTTGTGGCTGTTCACACTTCCTGGCTGTCCTCTGCCACTCTGGTGAGGGCAGCCACCCTCCTGGATTCTTCCCTCCCAATAAACCCCTTTGATGAGCTTTGGGTGAAGATCTTCTTTTGTGGCTGTGGAGCAGAGGCGACCCTGGGCAGAGCAGAGGGAGCAGGGCTGTAACACTTTTGCCCTGGAAACCTTCCCTTGGCAAAGTGGAGTTGCTACACTCTGCTCTCTACTCCTCCAGGAGCAGAACTGAACTGTAGGAACTTCACCCGGGAAACCTTCTCCTGCCTGAGCAAAACTGCTACACTGGGCAAACATCCCCAGCTAGAAGACCCTCTCCTGCAGAAGCAGAGCTCATACACTGGGAAGCCTTTCCCTGAGGCAAGGCTGTAAGCAGCTAAGTTTACTGTGGCCGTTGGTAGTCCTTGGCTCCCGAGCTCCAGGATACCTTTCCATCTGAGCTGTGTAACAGTCAGTATTCTGTGCCAGAATACCTGTCTCACCCGATCCAGCCCGAAATGCCTACAACAGGTACATTATCACATTCTTGAAAGATCTCTTTTCATTAAAAGTGGAGGACTCTTCATTCTCTACTTAAACACACAGAAGTCTCTAGTAATAAAGATAAGCCAAAGATTTAGAATCTATGACTATTTTGCCCATAGAAACAGTACCATACACAGGCTGCTATTTGGTCCACAAAGACCTTCATATCCCAGGATGCTGGCTGGAATGCTGGGAAAATGAGTACTGAGGATGCAGGTGCACAGTACTGTGGGGGGGGCAGACAGAGAGCATGCGACAGGAGTCTGCTTCCAGCTTCAAGAGGTAGCACAGGCTGGACAGGGGAAGACCAAGAGCACAGGGGTACAGAGGGCTGTGCTGGGTGGGGCTGGAGTCTCCAGGCTGTCCCATCCAAAAGTAACTGGATGCTAGGCCCTGGAGCATGCGCTTTTTTTTTTTTAAGCACATCTACCGCTTGTACCGGACACACTTGTGAGAAATAAGGATTGGGTTTGTAGTGGGCTTGGAACTCACTGTACACCATGCTGGTCTTGTGACTGTGGTGATCCTCCCAGCTCTGTCTCCTGACTTCTGGGATTACAGGCGTACACCACCACACCCAGCCTCCTTCTCCATCAACAGACATGTTCATTTGGGGCCACAGGGGAGGATGGGGCAGGACAGCTGTCCTAGTCTCTTCAGGCTGCTATAACAAGACATCACTGACAGGGGAGCTGATAAGGAATGGAAACTGATTTCTATGCTCATGAAGGCTGGGGACACCCATGTCTGGTGAGAGGCTGCCTCCTGACTCTTGACAGCTGCCGTCTCCTGTCACCTACGTGGTAGAAGCAGCAGGGCAGCTCCATGGGGCTTCTTTTAGAACAACATTAATTCTACTCACGAGTGTTTGATCCTCACAAACAAACCACCTCCCCAAGACTTACTCCCCCTAAAGCCACCACCTTGACGTTGTAAGATTCAGCATGTGAGTCAGGCAGAGGGATGCAAATATTCAGACATTTGGTATAGGGTGGGATGCTGGACACTCTGATGGCCCTCTTGATAAAGTAGGTTTCTGAGATTTGTGGACTGGAAACCCTTGGTGGGTGTCAGCAGAGAAGTCGGTTTCAGCAAGGCCATTCAGGGGTGGTGGATCTGGCAGGAGTGAGCTCTGAGGCTACCTCAGTGGTCCAGGTGAGGCTGCGAGGACTCACTCAATGGAAGCAATTGGATTGATGCCTTAAGTATGAGTTTGGGGTTTAAATTTCACAATGAGGCTTTGCAAATAAAATAAAGTGGCAAAAAGCTGCTAAAAGGGCTGGAAGACTTCCCCTGTACCTTAGAGGAAACCCAGGGTTGGATTGTCCCACTTAATCCAGCCACAAGAGCTAAGGATATACAGGTATCTTTAAATTCGCAGGTAAATGGTTGGCACTAGAAGAAACCATCCTGAGTGAGGTAACCCAGTCACAAAAAGACAAACATGGTATGTACTCTCTCCTATATGGATTTTAGACATGGATCAGGATAGTGCCAGCCAGTCTGCACTTCCATTGACAGAGAGTCTGAGAAACAGGAAAGAACATAAGAGATATGCATGGAACCCCAGAGAAGAGGAATGAGGCAAGATCCTTTGAACAGATGGGGAACACGGCGAGGGGTGGGAGGGTGGGAGCTGGGAAGAAGAGAGGGGGAGAAGAGGAAGAGAGAGTAGGTCATGGGGGAACAGGAAAGTTGAGTGGGAGTCTAGAATAGGGGTAAGAGGGAATCATAGGTTAGAAGACAGATCAGGCACCAGTGTGACCTCTAGTGATCTAAAGGGATGACACCAACTGGCAAGCTAAGCAATAGTGGAGAGACCACCTTGAATGCCCATTCTTGATAATGAACTTGATGTCTATAACCATCCTGGAGCCTTCAACCAGTGACTGATGGAAGCAGAGGCAAACACCCACAGTTAAGCACTGAACTGAACCCAAGGAACCCAGTGACAGAGAGAGGAGCGATGAGCAAATTGGCAAAGAATGGGCTGGCAAAACCAGCAGAGACAGCTGATCTGAACTGGGAGAGCTCTTGGACCCCAGACCGGCAGCTGGGAGGCCAGCATGGGATGTATCCAGACCCCCTGAATGTGAGAGTCAGTGAGGAGGCCTGGGCAACCTATGGGGCCCTGGGCAGTGGATCAGTGTTTATCCCTGGCATACAAACAGACTTCGTGTGTCCATAACACAAAGAGGGATGCTCTCTCAGCCTGGACTCTTAGGGGAGTACCTGGACCCTGCCCTGAGTGAAATGACAGACTCTAGATATCTCATATGTGGAAGGAAATGGCTATAGGGTGGGAGGCTGGGGGGGATGGTGGGAGGGGTGCAGGAGGAGGGGAAGGAGGAGGGTGAACTGGGATTGATGTGTAAAACAAGCTATTTAAAATAAAAAAAAAAAGAATATACAGGTAATCGGAGTTGACCAAGAACCAAGGCCAGACTACAGGAAGTCTTTCAGATCTCAGATCAAATTTCCATTCTTTCAGGGACCTTTGCCAGCTTGACACCAGCCAATGGGCCCTGCAAAGTGTTTCCATGCAGTTTCCTAGTGAGGCAGGCATTCCTCCTGGGCCCTCACTTCTGTGAAGGCAGGGTTCCCTCCACCCTCTCTCTCATTGCTTTGCTCCATGCTCACAATTATGCCTAGCATAGAGCAGGGAGTCTCCCAGAGCCTGGGGCTCTAGCACAGTTTGGAAATCACTGCAGGATGTAGGTGCCTGCATGACCAGGAGTGGAGAGAGTCAATACACGGCCCCTTTCTCTGTGACATCAAATCTTGGTGCTAGTGGCTAGAACTAGCAAGGGAAAGATAACTAGCCAACCAGGATGGTCTAGGGGTAGTACTCAGAAGTAATAGTCTCTTTGTAGGCAAGTACCATTATGCTTTGCTGGCCAGAATCCAGGGCTGCAAACACTACTACTCCTTGACAGACATCACCAATTGATCACAGCATAAGCTCCTGATTAGTCTAGGTTGTGAATCTGAATATGAACTACCCCTCACAGGCTCATATTTGAACTTGATCCTTAGCTGGTGGTGATGTTTGGGAAGGTTCTGGAATCTTCCTGAGGTTGAAGTCTTGCTGAATGAAATGAGTCACTGAGGGTGACCCTTGAGGGTTTAAAGCCCAGCCTCACTTCTTGCTCACCCTGCTTCCTGACTACAGGCACGATGTGACCAGCAGCCCCCTGTTTTTGCTATCATGCCTTCCTCAACATGGTGGGCAGTATCTCCTGGAACTGTAAGCCAAAGCAAACCTTTCTTTCCTTAAATTATTTCTTGTCAGATCATTTTGTCCACAATAAGGAGAAAAGTAATGAATACAGCCCGAGGCCTCCTCCAGAAGCTTCTCTATCTAGTACCAAGGTTGAAATCAATGTGACACCCTGAGTCTAGATGATTTGGGGGACCAAGAAGGTCAGGCATCCGAATGAAGGTGGGGATCTTGTTTTTCTCTATCAATATAGAGGACATGTAATCTCTATAGTCAGCCCAAATGAGATGTCTTTCTCTCACTGACTCTCCAAACTTCCTGTGTTGTCTCTCACTTGCTCTGAATCCCCTCTACAGCACAGCTTGTACCATGCCCGGGCACACTTCTCAGCTGAGCTACAGGTGATAACTGGGCTCCACAAAAGACCTATTGAGGCTGCAGCGTTAAAAAGAGCCAGGGAAACTCAACCTTAGCAAACCGCATGAGCACAACCCCTTCTCTGCGACATCAGATCTTGGTGCCAGTGGCTAGTGGCTATTGGGATGATTCTGGAATGACTCGGTCATCCTGTCAGGAAGGTTGGGTTTGCACTTGCTGCTGAGGTCTTTTGCCTTCTTTTCTAAGGTGATGTGAACCCAGGGCATCTGGATGTAGCTGAAAGGCTATGTTTGTTAGGCCTCTTGAGGGCAAGGATCTAGGATTTGGAAAATACTTCCTCTGAATCCTCTAGAGCACATAGCTGTCCAATCCGCAGGCCTATAGCCTTCTCAGTGCAATATATATATATATATGTATATATATATATAGTATATATATATAATCTCAAAAAGCACACACATTATTTCTACATTTTAAGACTTACAGAGTCAAACATGCTCTGAATTGGTCATTTCTACCCAATGATACTGATTGTTTAGAAATGCAGGCAGTGCAAAGCATTCTGGGAATCAGATGGAGGGCCGAGAAAGGAGAGTCAGACAAGGTGGCTCATGAAGGTAATCCTAGCACTAGGGGGCGTTAAGGCAGAAGGATTGCTAGGAGTTTACAGTTTGCTCTTGGCTTCACAGTACATTGTGAATTCCAAGTCAGTTTGGACTTAGGAATCAAACCTTGTCTCAAAAATAAACAACAACAACTAAATAAACAATAATAAATCCATCCTCAAACTCCAAAATCAAAACAAAACAACGAAACCAAAAAAGAAAGGTAAAGCTGAACCCTTCCCACCCAAACAGCAGGGAATCTCTCCAGTTCCTCTCCCACAGCTTACTTACTGCAACTTTGCAAACAATTTACATGAGCTCAGGCATGTTCGTTCGCAGAGAATAGCACACTAGGAAGAGCACGTGTAAGGAGGTGGAGATATTGGCAGCATAAAGCACCAGCAGGGAGGAAGCTCATGCAAAGGAAAAAAATCACATTAAGCCATAGTATCAAGCCCAGAGATCATGAACTTGTAGATACTTAACAAAAAGGCCAGAATCGTCAGACTGTTAAAGCCCAACCTCCAAATGTCTCCTGAGAATTGTGGGACTTCATAAGGATGCTGAACCACTCACAGAAGATGATTCAGCTAAGCTACATCCATTTGAGGGGCATAGAGAGCATTCAATTCAGAAATACTTTATATGCCATGTGGCATGTATTTGTATGTTTTAGAAACCGAAGAAGTAAGCTTTGGACAACAGGAAAGTTTGTGCACAGGATCAACGCCCCACCCCCCCAACCCCAGTGTTGTTGAAACTCAAACCGATACAGTCTGGGTGTGGTAGCCTCATAGGTTTGGACTCCTGTATCAAGGTGCTTCCCAACACTAGGAATTTATTTCAAAGGCAGAGACCAACCCTGAAAGTGACTAGAGCATGCAGGGAATGTCTGGTTCAGCTTGGGCAGTAACCTGCCTTTCTCATCTATACCAGGAGAGCTCACTCAAGGACCAGACAGCTCACTACAGACACCATAGGTGGCTCCCCCCCTCCCCCGCCTTTTTTTTTTCATGGCCACACCTGGAAAGTCCAAAGACAGGTATATCTGTGTCACACACCTAACACACCTATGAGAAATGAAGGGGAACATCAAAGGACCTGGAGAAAGAAATGCTTGGGTAGAGGAAGTCTTAGGGTCTGCCACATGGTAGTTTTGGGGCTTCTGAGATGTCAGTTGCTGACATTTGATCTAAAATCTTGTAGACTGTGACAACTGAAAGAAATAAATTTAATAAGCACTTTGGAGTCAGACTGGTATGAATTCTAATTCTGGCCATGGCTCCTTTCTAGATGTGTGGCCTTAGACATTATATCATGTGACCAAACCTCAGTTCCTTATCTGCAAATGAGAGTAGTCATGGGAGTCATAAAACTCATTTGATCAAATTGTCATGAAGATCAAATAAGACAGTGTCATGGAACATCTAAATGGGGTCTGGCATACAGAAAACACTAAACAGATGGTAGTTATTACTGTAAAACTTATTTGCTTACGGTTACCCAGCGAGGAAGAGGCAGAAGGTATACTAGGAAACAAGTCTAAAATTCCCCCATCAAAGGTCACATGCCTCGCTGCACTGCCTCCTTCAAAACGATTCACGTCATCCATGGTGTGGTGTGAGGGGTCCTGAGAGGACCACAGCCTGGTCTCTGTCTTTCATCCCAATTTCTCCTAGAGGTGTGCCCAGCGAGGGAGGCTTTATGGAAACACCAGCACGGGTCTCACCGAATCAGCCCACTGGCTTGGGAGTTCATTCTCTCCTGCATAGGACATCCAGGCCTGGCTCCTGTAGGATGAGGGAGGTGTTGGGATGAAGTAGCCGGTGAAGCCAGGTCTGTTGGCAGCTGGGATGGCAAACACCGCTGGGACAGTGTTACCTGCACAGAGAAAGCGGATGGGGGGTCAGGAGAGGCTGGGTCCAGATCCCTACCCGAAAGAGCCAGATGAACCCCACTTCACAGACTACCACGCTGTCTGCTGGGCTTGAAATCTCAGTGAATCAGCCTGGGGTGGAGAGCAGTCCCATACAGGCAGAGGAGACCCTGGGCACAGAGACTCCACCCAATGGAGAGGAGAGCCCTGCCGTAGTGGCTGAAACTCTAGGCAATGCATCAGCCAAGAGGGAGGCTGAGGTGGAAGGCGCCTGGCTCTCCTTAGTGGAGCTCTTGCAAGGTCGCTGTGACTGCCAAGGGGAGCAGGTGGCGCCCTACTCAGGGCACCTGGCACAGCGGCCAAGTGGGGCTAAGATGCTGGCTGTGTTCTCTTTGCGGGGGGGCTGCATCCACATTTTTCTTTTTTTTGTTTTCACTTCTTGAGAAGCCTCATGGATATCGGCGCCTCACTTCTCATCCTCCTAAAGAGAGTAGAAAGTCCAGCTGGCACCCTTCCCTTCCCATTGAGCCTTCGTGGATTCTAGCTCAGGAAGCTGGAAATCCAGGGAGGATTCTGACATTGGTCCAGGCTAGGGAATGCAAGGGAAAAGGTCATTGGGGAAGTCTCACTCTGCAGTCCCCGCCCCCATCACCCGCCTAGTCAATATGGCAAGCATCATCTGTTGTGATCCAGACTAGCCTCCTAGGGTTTGAAGGTCCAACGCCTCCTATAGAGCCCCATTCTCTCCCTCATCCTACCCTTGACCTATCCAGGGGAAAGAGCACCTTGGCTGCAGGTGCTTTCTTCCCAGGAGGACATGTGGTTTTAGCCATCTAACAAAAGCAATCAAAAGGAATGGACTTCACCAGAGGAATTCTTGGAAACCACAAATGGCTTAGTAAGTGCTGGCAACTGATGCTGGCAGGTTTAACTATAAATGTATGGCACGAATACAATAAAACTCCAACCAGGTCACATACACACTAGGGCATGTGCAAACCTCCAGTTCCATTTTGTCATTGTCAGTTTGACAAAAGAACTGGAAATGACCCTTATGTCCATCAAAGGAATGGACGGTTGCAGATCAGGTTACAGGACACTAACATGGTTGCAGAAGCGAGTGGCTAACCTGTGCTCACATAGCCATCTGGAGAAGTACTGAAAGCAATGTTAAGAAAACAGTGCAAAAAGAAATGTGTAGGATAGGGTTTATGCAAATAAAAAGTGCATATAGCATTAGCATATACTTTTAAATAGGTACATAACACAGGTCTAAAACCCATGGCTCAAGGATCATAGTCACCTTGGGAAAGGATGGCTGTATGTGTCGTGCTGGGAAGGTAAAATAAACAGAAAACTGAAATATGACAACATAGCTTTAGCATAACTAGGGTTCAGCTTTTTTTTTTCTTTAAAAAAAGAAATAAAGCCAGCAGCTCCTCTGGTCAGTACTAATGAAGTCAGAGGACCCAGGCATAAGATGTCTCTGGTTCCTGGCAGTGGCAGTTTGTGTGAATTTGGGAGGGCTCAGCACAGGGAAAAGGACTTTTCTCTGGCTCACCTGAGTAATTTAAAGCCGATTGATCCAACTGCGTCACCGACACGGGACCTCTGGACACCTGGGCAAACGAGGCACTGTCATGCAACTGGGCGGGCTCAGGTCCTGTGGACTCGGCCATCCGGGTCTTGCTGCCAATATCTGAGGTGGACCTGGGCAGGGCAGAGAGACTGTGTGATGCGAGCATGCCTCAGGCACAAGCAGTCACATCACACTTAAAAATGGCTGATGCCACCAAGCCCCCACTCTCATGAGGTCCTGGGATTGATTTGCCACCAATAGCAATAGCACTGCTGGTGGTGTCTGCATGGCAGGTGGCACCCAGACCTGCAACAGTGGGGTCCATTTTGTTTTTGTTTTCCCCTGTTTGAGGTTAGTTCTCTAAGGATGGTTCTGGGTAGTAGAATCTTTGATTCCCATGTAAAAGCAGCAAGGGAATTAGTTCTGGGTATTATCTGGGGATGGTAGACCTAGGAGGTGACGACATCATCAACAGCCAATGAGATGGAAGCTTTCCCTCTAAAGTGCATTCCTGGTCTAATGCAGGAAAGTTACATCCTCATGTGGGTGATGATGGCAGATGGTGCGGAAGGTGGGGTAGCGGTTGGCAGAAGAAATGGACAGGAGATGGCTATCAGCAGACCTGCCCAGAAGGACTGAGGTGGGTAACTGATCTGAGCACAGGAATAGCTCAGAACCCCCTGTGCTTCCTTTAGGAGGCTGGGCGGATCTGACTACACAGCAGGGTAGGAGGTGGGGTGGTTGGCCAGTGTGGGGTCCCCCTTCCCTCTTCATCCCTCCTTCCTGCCTGTTTGCTCCCACAGCTCTGCTTCAGAAGACCCTTTCTAGGGAAACTTGTGGATCTTTCCATGCATGCTCTGCTGAGACCCCTTCCTGAGGAATCCCAAGAGGCAAGGTGTTCTGCCTGGAATCAGACCTTCGGCAGATTAGGCAATGGACCCTTGGTGGGCTTCTTGCCACCCCGTTCTGGTCACCACTGGCCTCAAGAGGTGATGTCAAGTTGGCTTGACACTGAATCATCAGAGCTGAAAACAACACTTCTCTAGGGAATCTCACTTTTTTTTTTTAACCACCGTTGCAAAGTCCATGCCTGTGGCCCACAGATGGGCTGACCAGTATGTTATGGGAGGTTGTGGAACAGGGCTGGGACAGTGACTGATGAGTTCCCCTGCGCAGGGTTATCCCCAGCCTGGGTATCAGGATTAGTTCCTCCTTCCCCGGAGTTCCGGGGTTTTCTATTTCTTGTCCCACTTATTAAAGATGTGCACTGGCTGTATCAGCAAAGATCAAAGAGAAGGGTTAGAAATGCCCCATACTGAGGTGTTTGAGTTCGGTCTCTCTGAAAAGTCAAGACTGGAGTGGGTAGTCCAGACTCACTGCCCCCTGGCCCCTGAGATACTGCCCTAGAAGTAACAAAGGGACTTCTGGGTATGCAAACATGGGATGAGGCAGCCACACTTGTCATTTTCATGTCTTCAAGGTGAGGATATGGGCAATCAAGGTACAGTGCAATCAACCTGGGGTAGTTTTAGTTGTGGAGGCCTCAGGGACTTTCTATTTAGAAAGACAAGCAAATTGCTCAATGTGCTATGGTCTCCACTTCCTTCATGATATGTCCATGTCCCAGTCACAGGGGACACATCTTGAACTGGGGCAGGGAATAGTGAGTTTACTGGGGCAACTAGACAACCCGGAGGTCAAAACTTTTCCAAATATTTCAAACAAAGCCAAGAAAGGAATGTGTTACCGCCTGAGGGAAGCCACAGCCACAGGACCTGTCCTGGGAGGTACGGGTGGCGGGGGAGAGCCCATGACCATTTCAGGAAGCTGGGAAAACCTGTAAGCCTGTGGAGAGACAAGCAAGTTAGAGCTGTTAAAAGCAGTGTCACCCAGCACACAGCTCCTTATTTAAGGAGGGAGCATCCTTCCAGAGGCCAGACTCTCGGTCCTTCCTGGAATGCGTCCCCTAGATTGTCCTTAGTCATGCAGTGCCCAGTGTCATCCCATGTGCTCTCATCTCTGTAGCTCTCTGATTTGCTTGGACCACTGTAGTCTCAGAGCCCTTCAGTGGCCTTGGGACACACCCTCCTCCTTGGTCATTGGCTGCTCCTTCTTCCTGGCATGATTTTCTCCTGGTCTTGCCCTAGCTCCTTCCTTCAGGCCATTTATCCTGTCTCATACCCCCCCTTCTCTGTTTAAGGAAATGAGTACTTTTGGGCTAAATTATATGGCTGCTTGCTTATTTATTATCTGCCACCAGCTAGACTCTAATCTAAGACTTTAAGGGCAAGGTTTTGTTGTCAGTAATATCATGCCTGGAGTAGTGCGCAGTGAAGGATCAATAGATGTTAGTAGTGTGAAAGGAGGAATGAATGACTCATTGCGGGCAGTTTCCTTTCTCATGCAACACTGGTTGAATGTGAGAAAGGAATGGATTTGGGGGCAGGAGGATCTGATGAACAGACTTTGAACTCGTAGGTAAGCCTGGTGACCTCTGTGGACTTCAACATGCTCTTCTGAAGTGGACACATCAATGCTGTGCTCAGGGAGTTACTGAGAAGGTAGGCAAGGCCCTGTGTCCACGGACTTTGCAACGAAGCAAAGACCAGTCAACATGTGAGGGGATAAAGGAAAGACAGACAGGATCAGAGAGGGTCAGGCCAAGGCCTACAATAGAGAGAGAAAAATCTAGAGATGCTCTTGGGGTAGACAAAGCTCAACTTGTCTCTTCAGTGCATGTGCTTGCCTATCAGACTCTCAAAGCACAGGATGGCAGGCCTTTAAAATGCTGCCACAAGGGGACTCCATTAACAGGATTATGGTCCCCCAGCATTCCAGCAAACACCATACCTGTCAGGACTAACCCACATAACAGCAGTGAGCACACTTTTTTAATGTACGAGGAAAATTGTGAGCAGTGAGGGAAATCATTAAGGACAACTCTGGTAGCCTCCGTTCCCTGCATCTCAGCAAACTAAAACAAAACTGTGAGCTGATACCAGAGGTGAAAATAGTGAGCAGGAAGCAAATGCAAAAGATGTGGCTTCCCAGAAGACAAACCCATCGCAGCCGACTGGTGTCTGCTTGTGAGCTCAGGCTTCTGCACAGGGCACGTGGTTGAGGTCCGCATGTGCCCGGCAAGCCTGGCCTCTCCTTGGAATGGTGACTGGTGAGGTTCTAAGGCCTACGTGGAACACCTGGAAATTCTCTTTGGAGTGGAGTGTCTCTAAAGTAGGCTTAGTGCAATTAAAAATTAAATAGGAGCTTATACTACAAACAGGAGCTTATGAAATATACCAGAAGGGAGGAATGAAAGTCAGTACCAAGGACACAGACACAGACGTTTAAAGACTTAAAAGTTTCAGTTGTCCAGACACAAAACAACCACCACCACCACCACCACCACCACAAAATAACATTGTAACAAATGCTTTTAAAGAGTTAGACCAGAGCTGATGGCTCAGTGATTAAGGGCACATGTTCTTCCATAGGATCCAAGTTCAGTTCCCAGCACCCACATCAGACAGCTCACAACTAACAGCCTATAACCTCAGCTCCAGCACCATTTTCTGGTCCTGTGGGCATGACACATATACAAAACCCCACATTTTCACATGTAGCACCTATTACATAATTTAAAATAAATATACAATTTTTAAAGATTATTAACTGACCAAATTGAGATGCCATCAGGAATGCTATGACATACTCACAAACAACAACTTTTAGACAGGGGTTCCTGTGATAAAGCACTCAGTGTTGGGGAATTAAAGTGTGCATTCATAATTGATGAAGAGAGAATTGAGAAACTTGGGAAAAGAACTGAGGAACTCAGTAAAAATGAACTGAAACAAGGAAACTGAAAATATAAAAAGAGAAGCTGCAGAGTCGGTGCTGACCAAGTCTGACACTGGCGCCCAGATGCCGAGGGCAGTGGAGGACTGAGGCTGAGGGTCTTCCTGCATTGCTCTCCACTGTATCTTCGTAGGCAGGGTCTCCTACTTATGCAGCAAATGCCTTATCCACCGCACCGTCCTCACTTATTTCTGAAGCTGTGTTTCAGATGAAGCATGTGCTTGAAAGCAGTGTGTCTGGTTGAAATGGGGAGAGAATGGCTTGCTAAATTTGGCCTGACCCTTATTTCATGATGGCTTCCTGTGGTGCTCCCTGAACTCCGAGTTTTGTAGACAGGTTGAAAACCATTGTCCTGCATGTGTTTCCAGTTACACCTTCACAATTCTTAATAATTCCACAAGTGACACGCTCCCTTCACATAATACAGGGGTTCACAACCCCTCTGTCTCTTCCGGCCTCTGATGCTATTCAGCAGAGGAGGCAGAGATTTATTTTTAACTCTGGATCTTGAAGGGCCTATTCTGTACTCAACACAGTTTGCTAGCCAAGAAAAAGCTTCCTATGCTTGCTTAATAGTAAACCACTAAGGGATTTGATAAAAACTTTTTCTGAGCTTCTGTTGATCATTAAAGGGGTCCCCTTTATTAGTAGGCTTTGTCAGGATAAAGCACTCTTATGCAGGAAAGCAGACCTCCCACTCTTGGGCTATGTTCTTGGAACTTTGGTAGTCGCATTTACGACAGAGATGGGCATTGCCATGAGTGCATGAGCTGAGAAAATTTCTCTATCTTTCCCACTCTGTAAGTTCAGTTGTTCCCTGGGGATTCCACAGCTGGGGATTCAAATGACTGACAATGGAATATGTTCAAAAAGAAAACTCAGTCTACACTGAGCACATTCAGATTTTTCTTATAATCACTCCCCAAACAATATAGATGACAGCTATTCACATAGTGCTTGGGTTATGTCGTGCTTGGCACTCTAAATAACCTAGAGATGACATAGGAGCATATGAGTAGGTTTCATATGCAAATGAGGCCTGTGAAGGACTTGAGTATTGAAGGGATTTGTGGCTTTTTGAGGAGTCTTGAACCTGTCCCCTGTGGACATCAAGGGAAACTTAGACAAGTTTCTTCACTTTTCCAAACTTGTTTTTTAACTGAGTACTTGGAGTTAGTGATAGCAATATCATAGGAGGGTTGATGGATTAGGAGATATCATGTCTGTACAGGAGAGGTCATGTCTACACAGCACTTACATCAGTATTCAGTCAACAATGGGAACCAATAGATGGCAGGTGTAATTATTAGTAGTACTGCTAATCCTTCTGTAAAGTTTAGTGGGGGAAGATGTTTCAATCCTAATGCATTTTTAAGAATCCGTATACTCTCACCAGCAGGAAAGTTGTAGGATATTTTCATTCCACTTGGCATAGACCCATTATGGTTGCTAGCAAAATTGGATTGGTCATTAGGTGTCAAATCCAATTTCTTTATAGATTCAAGAGGTAAAATATGAGCAAGTCCTCCCAGACTGCACTGCAGAAATTCCAAGATGCCATCAGCAACCTTTCCCTGGACATAAATCCCACGAGGCTGGCCCTGGCATATTAAAAACACCAGCTCCCAATTATTCTCCCAGCAGAGTTTGGAGCATTTTCTTTTTTTCCAAGACAAAAAGTAATCATAGGTATCTTATTGATTTTTCTATTGATTTTTACATTATCATAGCACAGGGGCCTCTGCAAGACCTTAAGTCAAGCATCATCATCTCCATTGTGTGTTGCTGGCTATTTTCTCCTTTCATGGAGACAGGAGTCTCCTGTGCACTTGGCAGAGAAGGACCCCTTGATGATGAGTGGATGCTCCTAGTGTCTTCTTGTTTGACTGTTTGCCCCGAAGTTGGGTTATGCCTCAGACCTTTTCCCTCTGAAGCACCCCTATTTTCTGATGGGTTTGTACTCTTCAGCACAATTGCCAACTCCCAATCATAACAAACAGATGCTGGAATGTTCACATGGCCTACCATAGTTTTAGATGTCTTTACTGAACAGACGTATAAGGGCTATGGCAACAGCTACCATGTCACTGATGGGAAGACCTTTTTCTGTCATCTAAAGTTTTCCTTCTGAAACCCAGAGCCCTCATGGGTTTCTAGAATCAGCCACCAGTCAGGGGAGCTCAGTGGCTCCTGAGACTTGTCACCAAAGAAAAGCAATGTTTCCTTGGGATGCTGAGGTAGGGCATCATGTGCATATCTTAAATGGGCTTAACAGAGTGGGAAAACTAGATGTGGTCTCAGAAAGTGGAAAGGGATGCAGACAGTAGGCTCAACCATACAGGAGAACTCATTTGATGATAACGAACACTATCAAATAATTTGATGCACTGGCACCATGCCAAACAGTCTACTGATTATCAGCCAACAGGTCTAGGGTGCTTGCCAGATACCAGGACTCTGCTAATCATTTAGCAGGAACTAACAGCCCTCTTATCACCACCACTACACGCAGACTCTGAGGCTCAGAGCTGGTCCCTGAGATCACTTGATTGGTGAGCACTGTTCCACTTCTGGCTAGTGATCAAGTGTAGGGGTCCTTATACAGAGATTGGCAAGGATTCATCAAGGAGACTGAAGCTGGAGGCAATCAACACAGAACAGATACAAGTGGCCTTTCCCAGAGGGCAACTTCCTAGGTGGGGTATGTAAATGTGTTAAGACTGAAATATTTTATAGACCTCAGGGAGGAAATTCCCTTTCAGAACGGGGCAGCTGCCAGCTTAATGTACATGATCAGAACACTGTGATCTCAGAAACTATAATAAGAATGATGATGTGGGAAAGCATTTTATTTATTTATTTATTGCTTTTTCTAGACAGGATTCCTCTGTGTAGCCCTGGTTATCCTGGAACTCCCTCTGTAGACCAGGCTGGCCTTGGACTCACAGAGATCCTCCTGCCTCTGCCTCCTGAGTGCTGGGATTAAAACTGTGTGCCACCACATTTGGCTGGGAAAGCATTTTATAATGGCAAATATATAAGTCTGACAGAGACTTTTCCCATCTTTTTAGATCCAGACCCTTGGGAATGTGACTGGAGTGGCCTTGGAGTTGTTGACTTTTTTTTTAAGGAATGCAGGGTTTCTGCACAAACATTTTTTGATGGCAATGACAGATTTATATTATTGAAACCTGAGCATTGCTCCAAAGTATATTGTATCTTTTTAATTATGTTAAGAAGACATATGAGTGGCAAACAAAACCATAATGAGACCTACCTCAAACACATGAGGATGTCTACTATCAAGAGAACAGAAAGTAACAAAAATTGGTGAGCTGTGAAGAAATCAGCAATTCATTGTAGGAGAGAATGAAAAATGCTACAACCATTGTAGAAAACAATGCCAGTAGGAAATAGAATTCCATGTGATCCAGTCCACCTACTCATGGTAGACAGACACTCAAAAGAATGAAAGCAAGAGCTGGAGGAGATATTTGTATAGCTGTGTGAGGATCAGCACAACCTACTGTGGCCGAAAGGTGAAAACAGCTCAAGTCCATCCTGCCAGACAGACAGATACAATGTGGGATGTACATTTGAGTATTATTCGGCTTTAAAATTTAGGAAGGGCCTTCTGATGCATGCTACATGGATTAAACTTGAGGGCTATGCTAAGTGAAATATACCAATCATATAGAGACAAATGTTTTGTATGAAGTACATAAAGCAGCCAACTTTATAGACAGAGGTAAGCAGTAACTTCCAGGACTGTGGAGAGGGAAGACAAGGGAGTTTTCTTTTAATGAGTATAGAGTATCATGTTGGCAAGACGAAGTTCTAGATAGTTGTACAAGATGGGAGTATGTGACTACCACTAAAATGTGTACTTTAAAATGTAACCATAAGGATGCTGGTTAAGTGGTTAAAATGGTTCATTGGGAGACCAGGGTTCCAGTCCCAGCACCCACTTGGCAACTCACAAATGTTTATAACTTAAGTTTCCATAGGACTGGACACCCTCTTCTGTAAATTGGTAATAAAACTGTACTTGTCTCAGAGGTTCATTGTATAGACTGTGTAAGATCCTTACACAGGTATACAAATGTATTACATAAAGCAATGCCAAGATAATTAACTCTTATGAACTTAGAGAGGGGCTTCCTACTTACTAGGCAGTAGGCTATTGTTCATATGTATTTATTTTTGCCAGCAGAAACTTAAAAAAACTCCCTCAAGTTTCAAAGCCAGAAAGTGGTCAAGGTGGGATTCAGTCAGGCCACCTGGCTCACAGAGTGTATTCTTAGCCACCGGGGTGCACAGGCCCTTTTTGCAGGGCCCTTTGATGCCTTTTCACATTTAAGTTGGGTTTCATGTCTGAAAGTGGAGAAAACCATCAGTGAGTGGGGAATGGGGTCAACCCTTTCAGGAGTGATAGCAGGAAAGGAAATGCCTCTAAAATGGGTTAAGGTTTCTCGTAAGGCTCCTCTGGGACCTGTCCCACGAGAACAAGGCTTGGCTTTGGATCGCGAGTGAAGTATGGGAGGGGACTCCAGCACATCCTTGCTTTGGGTCCCTTGTTGGACTGTAGTGGGGACAGGGAACTCACAGGAGGTGTGACTTACCGGTCGGGGCAGACTGTATTGGTACATTTCTGGCCGGTAGGTGGGCACCCACTGCACTCCAGCCCTGGGCCGTGTCATGGTCCCTGGAGCGCTGGTCACCACCTCCGAGTACGGCAGGTGCTGAGTAGAGCCGTAGGTCTCCGGGTGCCGGCTTTGGCCTGCGTGGCCAGCGGATGCCAGGCTGAAGGCTTCCTCTAGAAGCATGTGCATCTGCTGCCGGACTTCGTCGATGGAGGGTTGTGAGCTCAGTGTGGAGGTCTCTGAGTGGCCTTTCACCTGCCGTGACCTGCCGTAGCCCCTGGGCTCATGGACTCTGTCGACATTGGTTTCCTCTATGATCTCGGGTTCAGTCTGCGGGATCAAACAAAGCCCAGCGATTTGTTAATGAAGCTCTTTCCTGCATCCTAAAATATTCACTGGGACCGATGAAATAATGAGTCCGTGCTAACTTAGGTCGTATCCAATGCGCTCTATCTAGGAATTCCCACAGCGGGAGCAGTCGGCTATTGGGCAGACTGAACTCCCGTTGCTATTGTAGTCTTCAGGTGTCCACAGCTACACCAGTCCTGCAGACTTGCTAATTAGCATAATAATGAGAAACGGCTTTCACTGGTTAAATTAATGGCATTCTCAAAATCTAGATGCCTTTGGGTATAAGAATCTGGAGCATTCTGTAGTCTACACCCCAAAGGATGGCAAATCACTTTAAATGAGCCTGGGTCCAGCTATTGGTTAGGGACTTCCTGGTTTCCTGATTCCATTTATCATGGAGCACAACACAGTCATCCTTCTACACAGATCACCTACAAGCATTAAATGCCATGAACGAAAAGCCCCGGATTGGACCCAGCGCCCTGCTTTCATGAGCATGCTAGGAGATTCTGATGCCTTCTCAAGTTTGAGATCTACTGATCTAGAACATTCTCCTTCACCTGCACCCACCATTCAGGGAGTAGGGGCAGAACTGAGGGGGTTAGACAACTGGATCTTGTTAGCTTCCAGAGAAGTCTACATGGGCTGTCAATTTAGGCTGTCTGTTGATGAAGGTATGTTTAGTAAACTGTATATTCTGTTCTGTGGGGTGCCTGTGAGGGTTCATTCTTCACAGTTCTATGGGAAGCATATAAGCGCTCACCCTATCACACCGGCCATACTTAAATCTCCGAGTGCAGAAAACCAGGAGACAAGGGGTGGCTCAGGCGATGCAGTCCGCTGCCCACAGTAGCTGCTATGGTAAGAGCCAGATCTACGGGCACTGAGAATCTAAAAAACTAGGGTGTTAAAGATGTCCCAGCCTGGAGAGCTGCTTTATTTCCACATCTTCACTTGTAAAAGGATGATGTATTACCTCAGAGGGCGCTGCAAAGATCCAGTGAACGTCTGGGAGAAGATTTAGAACGGGCACAGGGCATGGATACGCTAGTCACCATCAGCAGCACCCTCAGATCCATTATTGCTGTTATTCATACAAATTATCATGAATTTGAATTACTATGTATGAGGCACCTGGCTGCTAAAATAGACACTGTAAGAAGATATCAGTAGGGAATTCATTCATTCAGGCAAGTCCTGCTCTCAAAGATCACAGAAGTCAGAGCTGTGATAAATTCATGTTTGCACTGGACAGTTCTAAGTCCACTTGACACAAGCTAGAGTCATCTGAGAGGAGGGAACCTCGATTAAGGAAAGGGCTGTAAGATCAGGTGACAGGCAAGCCATAGGGCATTTTCCTAATTAGTGATTGATGGGGGAGGGCGCAGCTCATGGTGGGTAGTGTCATCCCTTGGTTGGTGGTCCTGATTTCTTTAAGAAAGCAGGCTGAGCAAGCCATGGAAAGCAAGCCAGTAAGCAGCACCCCTCCATGGCCTCTGCATCAGCTCCTGTCTCCAGGTTCCTGCTCTGTATGAGTTCCTATCCTGACATCCTTCAGTGATAGCTTAGGGTATGGAAGCGTAAGACACATAAACTCTTTCCTTCCCAACTTGCTTTTGGTCACGGCGTTTCATCACAGCAATAGTAACCCTAACTAGGATGTGTTTTAAAAGCATATCCACTTTTCTTTAGTATGGAATTAGTACATACACATTAGTGAAGAAATTGAAATCACAGCACAAAAAAGACATTAGGGACTAGAGAGTTAAGACTTGACTTGTATATAGTTCAAGATCAAAATTAAGACTCTCTATGTACCTTAAAGACTAGATTTATTAGCAAACAACTACAGCAATCAATTTCAAGTATTATTTCTTAACATATGCAAAAGCAGATCATAGGATAGTACATAAAATCATCCCTTAGTACAAGGACATGTCATGCCACTGAGACTCTTGTAGAGAAAGGCTTGTGATCACAGTCTGGGAAATGGGTTTTCTGAAGGCCAGCAAATCTGACTGTTAAGATTTTGCTTGCTTCTAGATAACGAGTACAACTTCTATAAGGAACTTTCTCTATAATGCAGAGAACATTTGGAGTTTATTTCAAGTGCCATTGTAAAGTAGAGGAAGTTAAATGATTTGCTCCAAGTCCCCCGGAGGGGGCATGTTGCCCTGGGCATATCCCACCGGGCCATACTGCCTCATCAATGATGGCTGCTACCCACACATGGCCTTCCTCTCTACATCTTCAATCTCCCTAATACACAATGGATGTTTAATGCCAGATTACTCCCAGGTGAGAGATTAATGGCACTGAGGTGAGCTGAGCCATGATTTTGTCACCTTTCAGTGCAGTCAGAGAGTGAGTATATTCTTGTGTGAATTTATAGCTGTGCATTAGGCAGGGCAAGAGTGCACTTCTTAGTAACATACCTTACTCTCCTGTCCTCCTTAAGACCCCTGAGGTGGGGCTGTGCCATGCAGGAGGTGGGCAGGGCACCTCTCTGAGTTGGGTTAGTGAGGGGTAGCATTACCTTTGCTGGGGGAACATTTACTCCAGGTTCCCGCTTCCATCTGCCACCATGCTGCCCCAGGAGAAATCAATGATTCTAACCCTGCACAGGGGCTTCCTTTAATCTAAGTGTCACGGCCCATGACCTTCAAAGACTCCTGTTCTGCCCCAGTTCTCAGTCTTTCCTTGTCCACAGGTGGAAACAAGGCTAGCTCCCACCCACTCTGCCTTATTCTGGATACACTTGTATTTGTTTAATGTCTGCCTTGCCTCCCCCACCAGACATTGGAGGCCCTGAACCCACTGCACTTCTGTTTCTCTAGAGGCCACCATAAGGCCCTTGGCATCAATAATACTTTGAGACTTGACTTGACTGTAGAAATGTCATCCCGCTCCCCATGGGGTATGTCTGAAGTTAAGATGGAAAGCCCACTTCATCACATTCTCTCCAATGCTAATGAACTGTAAGACACATGGGCAAGCTACAGGGGGCTCCCTGGGACTCAGGATGCTCTCCGTAGTTAAACTGAACTACTGTCTGACGTTTACCATCTGTCCTGGCTGGTTTTATGTCAGCTTGACACATGCTAGAGTCATCTGGAAGGAGGGAACTTCAATTGAGAAAGAGCCTCCATAAGATTCAGCTGCAGGGCATTTTTTAATTGGTGTTTGATGCGTGAGGGCCCAGCCCATTGTGGGTGGTGCCATCCCTGGGCTGGTAATCCTGGGTTCTATAAGAGAACCGGTTAGTGGTGGAGCACACCTTAATCCCAGTACTCAGGAGGCAGAGGCAGGTGATCTCTGTGAATTCGAGACCAACCTGGTCTACAAGAGCTAATTCCAGGACAGCCTCCAGTGCCACAGAGAAACCCTGCTTCGAAAAACGAAAAAAAAAAATAAAGAAAGAAAAGAAAACAGGCTGAGCAAGCTATGGCAAGCTAGTAAGCAGCACCTGTCCATGGCCTCTCCATCAGCTCCTGCCTACTGGATCCTGCCTTGTTTGAGTTCCTGTCCTGACTGTCTTTAATGATGAACAGTGCCGTGGAAGTGTAAGTCAAATAAACCCTTTCCTCCCCAAGTTTCTTTGATCATGATGTTTCATCATAGTAAAGAAACCTTAACTAAGACACCATCTCTTTGACTCCAATGGCCCTAGGAAATGCCACATCCCTCCTAACCCCAGTCCCTGAAATCATCTGATGCCCACTCAGGAAGTTAAACACCTTCTATGACCTCTACTTGCACCATGGGTCATAGGTTTCTTTTCCCGATGGGACAATTACTGCTTTTGGCCCTAATTATTGTTTAGGCTTCATTAAGGATACAGCAGTTAATAAAACTGTGACCTGACTCTGATGGAGTATCCTACAGGAGAGATAAATAGCAACAGTAATAATATCAACTATCAGTGATGAGTAGCTTATATGCCAGGCACTGTTCTCTGAACTTGGTATACATTGACTCTCCTTACTCTTACAGTAACCTGTGTTTTAATATTAATGAATATGATTATTTTTATTGTACAGATGAGCAAATCGAGGCATTAAAAAGTCAAACATTGTGTATGTCCATCGTACATATACAAACGGGTCTCTTAATCACCCATAGGTGTATGCTCTGACCAAAACCAGAAGAGGCTTCTAAGAAAAGGACAGAGATAGAGTAATTACTGAGATTATTTCTGAGACCATAGGATAAAAGCATCAGTATATAAACAAAAGTGCTTAGCACTAAACCTGGCAATAAGCTGTCAACAAATACCAACTGCTCGTTAGTCGATGGGCCACTCTTCTGGGGTTCCATCTATACCTAATGAGCTATGACAACCATAGCCCTCAGTTCAGGGCTGCATGTCTAAAGCCCTTGATTGACTGTTAAGTGAAAGAAATCCACAGAGTGGGTATTCATATACGCTGGCCCTGTGAGGAGTCTATCACAAGTGTTACCTTGCTTAGCCTCACAGGGACATAGAACAGATATGTCCATTTGCAGATGAGGGGGACCATGACCACTGGTTTACCTGGTGTGGTAGTTTGAAAGTAATTGGCCCCCATAGACTCAAAGGGAGTGGCACTATTAGGAAGTGTGGCTTTGTTGGAGTGGGTATGGCATTGTTGGAGGGAGTGTATCACCGTGGGGCAGGCTTTGAGGTTTCCTATGCTCAGGATGCTTCCCATCGTCTCAGTCGACTTCCTGTTGCCTGCAAGATGTAGGACTCTGAGCTAATCCTCCAGCACCACATCTGCCTGCACACTGCGGTGCTCCCCACCATAATAATGGACTGAACTCTGAAACTGTAAGTGAGCTCTTTCAATTAAATGTTTTCCTTATAAGAGTCATCATGGTCATGGTGTCTTTCATACAAATAGAAACCCTAAGACGCCTGGTCCTTGACCCTTCCCCTCACTTCTATTCACTTATGAACATGCCTTATCCTTTGAGATAAAAAGTAAAGTCTCCCTATA